GGGAAAACCAAAAATATTTCTGGAATGATGCTGCTTTGAAAGAGAAAGTGCACTAATCTGTAGGCATTAGTGGTAATTGGTTTGTGGTTTCATGGTTTGCTTGAGCTTCCTGAGCTCCAATAAACCTCCTAAAATATTTCAGATGTTCACGGTTTTCTGAGTACAATCTGTGTAATTTATTTAGTCCATACAAAAGTTTAACTGCATCACTTAGTATGAGTAAGGTCTCCTTACAATCTAAAACCACTTACACACTTTCCTGTGCCCTTCGTATCTTTTTAACTTCTATAATCAATTCCAGTGCTTCCTGGATATCCACATTTGCTGCATCCACTAAATCTGAGAGTTCCTAACAATTCGAGAACAAAGATTGAATTAGTTGATTAAAAATTACACCGTTTGCCCTCTGTCTTCAAAAAAAGCTACAATCTCTACACTTGTGTACACAGTAAGAAGAGAATGAAGTCAGGGATGGGTGAATTACTTAACCCCTTTACTTCCTAGATCTCTTTATCAATTCTCTTTCCTTTAACTTTCTTGTGACTATGAGAAATTGGAAATTTTTCTATCTTCTTGTCACCTTAAAGCTTAAGTGGGATGATGCAGTGATAAAAAATAAGTTGTCAAAGGGTTTAAATAGATATTAATTTTGTGGTTCAATTTTATCCTTGGTTCAAATTTTATTTTCCTTTGTTTCAAACTCATTATCATACATTACAATACCCAAAAACAAAAGAAAAGAAAATTTGAACCAAGGATAAAATTGAACCACAACATTACCATTATAACCTATTGTTTATCAATCAATAACTAACCTTGGATTTTGACTGCCTCAATGATTTTTCTGTTGAATTTAAATGACATTTAAAAGTAAAAAAGTTAGATAAATAATTCAAAAAGGTTTAAAGTATTTATTTCTCTAATTCTACTTAAGCTTGATCAAAATGAAAAAACCTAAAGACAAATAAGTTCAGGGTCTCCCATCTGAAAAATAAAGATCTTTAAGTGTATTATTAAAACAGAACCTCTCATAAGTCATGTGAAAGAGCATCCCTTATTCATCTCCAGTTGAATATTCTAGAAAATTAAAGATGAAAAGAGACTCCAATTTAAATTATTTTTCTCAATTTTTATATTTTTATTTACCAACTTGGCCAGTCCTCAATGCTCCATGTCTTGTCTTGTAACAAATTCGCTGTAACTCACATTGGCCAGTAGAAAAATGAAGAATAATCTTCATCACTCGACGGTACCAAAAATAAAATGAAAGGTATCTCCAGAAATCAGCCATTTTTATTATCTCTTCTGTTGATTTCTAAAAAGCAGATAAAAAAAAGAAAGTCAGTATTTCCGTTTGACTATTGTAGGAATACTGCTCCTATTTCAAAATTAATTAACTTTCCAGAAATGTTAATGAATGCGAGAGAAAAATAAAACTCTCTCAAGTTAAGTTGTCTGTTGTGTACATTTTAGCCCCAGCCTAGAGTCTGAAGCTTAACAGAGTGACACTTCCTGCAAAAGCAAGATTTACCAAAAATATAAGACCCCTACAGTTTTTTGTCAATCCTAATTCAAACAAATGTAAACTATTCTTGAGACTTAGTATATAATTAAAATCTTCAATATACAAATTACATGACTTGTTGGAACTTCTATCTTTTTTAAGAGGTTTACTGTCGTACTGAGTAAACTTCAAAGACCCCAGCTTATAAGACCACTCAAGGCAGCTCTCTTTCTTTCAAGGGTCTACAAAAATATCTATAAAACTGAGAAATATATTCAAGAAAATTACCTAACTTGTCCAAACATACATCTGAGGATGTGTATGCTCAAAGTCCATCTTAGGTCATTGTCTACAATTCTGTGTTTTATAGTTTTTACAAATTAAAGTTGTCCACCTTAGAATAATTAAGCTTCTATGTTAAAATCAAAAGTGGAATTCTCGCATGTAAATTTTTGTTTATCCTTTGCCCAGCACGAAAGAATGAAATTGAAAGCTATCAGGTAAGTCTCCTTGACACCGACTAAACATATACAAAATAAACTATAATAATAACGCTTCATCATACCATACCACTGTTGGACATGTTGGCAAAAAAGTGTTTCCAAGATTTAGATCGAATAAATAAACAGCAAAACTGAATCAATGAGTGAATGTAAAAGTTCGGTGATGAACCGTGTCAGCCTGTAGACAGATACTTCTTCAACCGGTATGTGTCGATTAAGAATAATTGTTTTGAGGAAAGGTGTGATAAATAGGAGCTTTTGTGACATGTCTTCAAACGATGAAATGCATTTCCATCCACGCCTATACCACTAAATCTACAACGTCTCACTGGAATGCCCGGGAATCGGATCTGATCGTAATGACACATAAACAAAACCGGAACACAACAAAGACTTCCCAGACAAAGCACAAAGGTACATCGATTGTAATCATGATCAGATATCAAAATTGTTCCGGCGAGGCTTTCACGCTCACCGTATTAATTCACTAACCTGGTTCACATGAATTTAAAATCAATCCTTCATACAAAGTCTGTTCACCAGATAGTGTGCATTTAGTCATCTTTACTCACCTCAATTGGCTAGTGGAACGGGAAATATGGCGCCCGCACCAGCCCACAAATTACAGGTCGCAATCGACCGGAAAAGGTTGGCGTAATCCCAAAGTTTGAAACGGATTTACACATTCAAGACAAACCAAATTTAGAATTTTTTAACCAAAATTGTTCTTTATGACGTAGATGACTTCCTATTGACGTAAACCAACCATTAAAGTAAAACTTTTGCTCGCTCTTCACCTTCTCCAGCTCCTTCACTTCCTCTTTCCCACGAGATTAGTGAACTGCTGACCAGAAACTATGACGTATAAAAAAGCGGCTCACACCACGCAACCTCCCAGTTTTTTAACCCCAGATTGATTCCGCAAAGCAATCGGAATTTCCCACATGTTTGTAATGGTAGGGGTTTGAAAAGTTAAAAGAGTTAAATTAAATCAGTCGGAAGGAAAAAAAAGATACATAAAAGCGTGCACGAAGCCCGTTTCTTGGGGAAGCAAATAATGACCATGAAAGCAACAACTCGAGGAGTGTTTTGAGTCGATGTCGTTTAAAATTGCAAGATTTTTCCTTAACAATTAAAAGTATGTTATATTTTTCTACATGCTCAAAATTTTCTACCTATCGCTGTTTTTTTAAGTGTTACTTTAAAAATTTAAAATTAAAGTGAAAATTATAAAAACTCTAAAGAACATTTAAAAGGCTAAAATATACAAATATGATAAAATGTTTATAGATTTCCAGAGGATAAAGATTACAACTAAAAATATATAATTATCAAACTTTTAAAATTACTTAGGGAGGGGGTACTCTTAATACAAGCGGGTATTGCGTAAATAGTGGGGTAAGATTGACCCATCATATCTCTTTGCCAAGCATGATGACCTATCTTTTTCATCGTAGTTTTCGAAACAGAAATTTGTAGGGAATACACAAGGAAAGTTTTAAAAAAATCCGATCTCTTAAAACAGAGACACTCTACGACAGTTAGCAGTCATCACAGTCTGTTACGGTCCATCAGTTTTCAATAACTTCTTTTCAGTTTACTACTCTTTTTGCTTCTTTTGCTTCCACCCTATCCTCTCATTGGATCAAAAAAAATCCCCCTTTCTAGTAAAAATCTTCATTCTGATCGGCTAAGAGAAACACAGCTTACAATAACACATCGCAGATGAGACGTACTTCAGGGTAAAAAAGGGTGATAAACTGTTTCTTCGGGATTTGAATTTTTAATTTTTTATTAGCCTAAAAGCTGATAAAAAACACACAATGACATTTGCAAGCATTGAGTAAGTTATTTTTGTACGTGATTCGTACGCTTTGTTTATGCATGGGGTCTCCGTGGAGTTTACCCGTTAGCCATAAAAACGGCCGACGTAAGGCGTTAGACGTTAGACGTTAGGCGTAAAAATTGACGAATTTTAACCGTGAGTCGTAAAAATAGTTGAAAGCAAAAAGTTAACCGAAGTGGAGGTGGCTAGTGGCGGATTTTATCGACTCGGGTCAGCCAGGCCTCACATCTTTAACCCTGGAGGATCCGGGTAAGTATCCGAGTTGGCATCACGACCTGAAGAGTTACGAAACCATTGCACAATAACAAACTTCTACACTGGAACAAACCCTCTCAGCACCTTCGCGCTGGACGAAATGGAGACAAAAGTAGCTAATTTACCACTTATGGATATGACAAGGGCAAAGACTGATCGTGAAGCGTTTGCCAAAGATCTTGTTAAAGTCACGAGTACGATTGGCTTTCTTCTTCTCGAGAATGTCGAGGGAGTCGATCCCGATGGTCTGATGGGAGCGTGCAAGTGGTTCTTTACCCAGCCGCTGGAAAAGAAATTTGAGGTAACGAGGAAAAGGTGGAATAAAAGCTGCAAGAACGTGTACAGGGGATATTTTCCGACCGGAGAGGACCCTAACAATTCGAGTCATAGAGAAGCTTTCGAATGCGGCGTCACTCTTCCACTAGACGACCCCGACGTATTGAATGGTAACAGGCTGTATGAAAACCCCCAGTGGCCGATCGAAGAAGGCATTCCATTCAAGAAAATTGTAACATCTTATTTCAAAGCGATGCACCGAGCAGCTGTAGACTTGATCCGTCTCCTGGCTCTTGGTTTGGGTTTTGATGAGCACTGTTTTGATGATATGATCGTAAAGAAGCCGTTGTCAACTCTCAGACTTCTGCACTATCCCCCTCGCGGAGGTATGCCTAGGTAGAGACCAAAATGTTGGCTGGACGGTTTTAACCCTTTAACTTCCATGAGAGACCACGACAGGTTTTTTTACCTTAGAATATCAATACAGTATCCAGCAGACTAGCCTCCCCCCCCCTCCTCCCCTCCCTCACTACAGACTTTAACTATGAAGAAATTAATATATGGGATAAGTATTTGGTAACTTATGATGTTTGATTGATGTTCAAGGACATGCCATTAGTTAGGGTGCACAGAGCATTAGGTACTCCTTTGCTACCATACATTTTTGACTCCATCCCACCACTCATTTAGTGTGTTAATTCCAAATATTAATAGCAATAAGTTTACTTTCTCTAGATGCCATTCCCAACACCTGCATATCAAGTGATGGTAAGATTCTGACATGCGATGATCACCATGACACAGGTTTGATAACTCTTTTGGAAACATTCAACAATGGAGGCTTAGAGGTCGTTGGGGAAGATGGTGAGTGGATGGCAGTTGAGCCCAGATCTGGAACTCTAGTTGTTAATATTGGAGATCTTCTGGTCCAGTTTTGTGGAGGTCACCTAAAGGCTACACGTCATCGTGTTGTGGATATTGGAGTTGACCGGTACTCTGTGCCTTTTTTTATGGAACCTAGTTACCACACTGACATAAACAGGTCTCCAGTTCTTAAACCTCCCCCTGAGGGTACCCCTGTACTGAAATATGGTCATTGGATGATTGAAACCATGAAACGCAAGAAGTACATTGAATATGAAGGGTTGGATACCTCATTTAATTGGCGTGAAATATAATTAACTGTCATGATTGTGCCCTGGCTAAGGATATTTAGAGACATTTGTATCACTACATAATGTCAAGGAAGCATTTACAATGTTCATAAATTCAAACATTGATTTCATTTAATTAGAATGGATTTCATAATAATACTACATGGGAAATTAATTTTTTAAATTAATTGGTACAGAAACTCATTACTAAGTGCAAAAATGTGGTACATGAACCAACTAGGATAGAGTCCAGGAATGAGGTTTGATCACATGAAAATAGACATTTTTTTGTTTCTGTGTAAGAGTATGAATAAGAGAGGGTGATGAATCATGGCTATGAATACATTTCTATTCAAGCGTAATGAGTTATATGCCAGTTGATTATGCAATTAAGCTCAAACCACATTTCTTTACCTATATGCCAAAAGTTCTGACTGTTTTGAGTACAGGGAAAAAAAATCAAATGCACTCTGTCTGGAATTTTTTTTATAGGAACTGCATGATGTGCTCCCCAGCATCTATCACAAATTAGTGGTCAAAAATCTAAGAATTTCAAAATGTTTCCAATTTAAATAATATTTTTATACCAGAACCTTTAATGTGATGATTGTAAGGCATACAGAAAATTCATGACAGTGTAATTTAGTGTTTAATTTGTTTGTAAAGCACTGTCTGTAGACTTATCACAACAACTGAGTGAGTAGCAAATTACAATGATCATTTTTTCAAAATCTCCTGGAATTCCCAATGTAACCATCCACTAGTATATTAAATATATGAACTTGTAAGTCTGGTATTCATTCCTTCTCTTCTGAGGAAGAACAGCCAGGGTTCATTTCCCTATCAGCTGCTGGCTATGGAGCCCAGATTTGGTCATCCCTTTTGGAGAGGAGAAAAAAACATTAATGAAGAAGTATTTTGTATCTTTTCTTATGACCATGTCTGTTTGTGTTTGATTTATAGAAGCAGAGAATCTTGCATGTAAAAGAGGCATGGATGCCCATCAACACACTTTGAATATTAAATGATACCTACAATGAAGGATGATATAGGCCGGACTCAAAATTTTCTTAGACAAATGATTCAGTAGGGGAAGAGTTGGCAAAGAAGCTGTTGCTGCGTCGGTAGAGGGGTATAACGAGATAATTTGGTTTTATCAACTGAGGTGATAATGTCAGTTGGCAGGGGCAAGAGTTTCCAAAGCTGACAAAGGGCCAACGCGCAAATCGTCAGCTTTATAATGGTAATTGAACTGAGTGGAGTGCAATTTGGGCTGAAATCATACGCGTGATTCCAAAATTGAACGAGCGCGCAGCGCGAGTTCGATTTGAAATCACAAGTATGATTTCAGACCAAAATTGCACAACACGAGGTTCAATTACCACTTTATTACATCCGTTTTGAAATCGCCCAAATACAGGACTTGGTCAGTTCAAATATTTTATTAATACAATACTGAGCTGGTTTGAAATTAAATTCATCCATTTTTTGGGAGGAAAAAATAAGAGTTTTGGAAACAAAAGTTGCAAAATTTGCCATATGATACTCCATGTCTTTCATCTTCCTGCAATATGATCGGTTACTTTAAACAAGCCTTGAAGTCTGATTGGTTGTTTTGTTTTTAGTGTAGCCTCCTCACTGGCTGGGGAAAAGATGCGATTTAAAGCAAAAAATGGTGCAATTTGTGAATAAATCGCACCAATTAGAGCCAATCAGATTACAGGGACCATAAGTGATTTCAAAATGGGTGTAATAAAGAGCGTTATAGAGTGTTAGAGCGTACCAGCTGGGTTGATAATGTAAATTGGCTACTAT